GACATTTAAAAGAGTTAACATTTATTATTTATTATAAAACTGAGATGGTATTTCTATCCAGCAACCATATCACCTTGCAGCTCTCAATTGGCAACCCACTGAGGCTAAGCAGGGTTAAGCCTGGTCAGTACCTTGGTATGAGACCTCCCGGAAAGTTATGGTTGCTGATGGAAGTGGTACTAGTGGGACAAGCAGGGGATGCCACCCTGCGGTCTGTGTGGGTCCTAATGCCCCAGTATAGGGGAGGAGACACTATACTGTTCTGGATGCCGTTAAACCGAGGTCCTGACTCTCAGTGGTCATTTCTGGGCATTTCTCGATTAGAGTAGTGTGTTATCCCAGTGTCCGAACCAAATTTCCCCCCTCTGCCTTTACCGTGGCCTCCAAATTGTCCCCATGTCTTGCCAGGTAGGCTCTGGCTTCCCGCGACACCATATGGTATAAAGCAGTTTGGCAAATGATGTGACATGGTATTTCTGGGGCATAACATACTGTATATTTACCATCATGTTCCACTGAAGGACAGTCATTGATCTTGTAATCTAGAATGGATGTGAAAATAAATCTATCACATTTAGACAGTCTTCTGTGGCAAGGTAAGAGCTTCACAAGGAGTGGAAATCATTTTTACCCCCTAAAATACTATGAATCCACCACATTATCCCAGGTAAAGAAAATAGGCTTTGATTTGTCCCAGACTGAAGAAGAAACTGAACTGCAAATGCCCTGAGCTTTTATCTTTATTATTTAGTTAGTGGTACTTTATGCTGAATATAAAAAGCTTCAAACATGCATCCAGCATAGCAGGCTCACAGCCCTGGGTTCAATTCTGGACCTAGGGTGCTATCTGTGTGGAGTTTGTATGTTCTCCCTGCATGGGTTTCCTTCCACAGTCCAAAAACATACTGGTACTGTATGTTAATAATGTACATCTCTGGGAAAACTGGCCCTAGTGTGTGTGTCTGTGTTTGTGATGTGTCTGCCCTGCGATGAACTGACACCCCCTCCAAAGGATATGCAGCCTTGCATCTGTTTATTGGGCTCTGGCTCTTCTGCAACTCTGTATTGGATAAAGAGGTTAGAAAATGGATGGTTGAAAAAGTTAGCAGTCCAAAAATGGTCAGCCTTTGATAAAAGAAACCTAAGTAAATCTGCAGTGCTTGAACTTGAACTTGAACTTGAACTTGAACTTTATTGCCATATGTAACCGGTACTGGTACAATGGAGTTCTTACTTACAGAAAGTCTCTCGATTGTAAAACAAGTGTAAAAAACAAGACAAAGTGCAAACAGTGCATCAAGACAATGTACAAACAAACAATAGACAATGTGCAAGTAAACATCTAGACAG